GAAAACAGGGAGCATATTCACTGGACCCGTTGTGTACATGCGATGTGTTCAGATGGCAGTATCAAACAAGCAGAAGTGCTGGATTTGGCTCTTGATATGAATATATACAGTTTCCCCTTCTTATTGAGATTATCCCACTTGATGGGACTGGGAATAGATTATACCATATTGAAGGATGTCATGTGGTTCTGTTAAAATCTTCCAGTTTGCAATCATACCATACCAGGTTTACATCTAGTGATGTTTTAGATACAAGTAGTCAGTCTATACCTTCAACAGCCGTTTGATTTCTGTTTAAATTGGAACTCGTATGTTTTAATATTTTTTGTTACACAGGGTTGTGTTTTAAATTAGGATTTGAAGGATTTTTTTCCAATTCGTTTTGTTGTAGGACATGTCAATACCTCTCAGGAGCGTGGGAAGCGGTGACAAGAGCACCGAGGCTAGTCTGGGACTTGATTCATTTCAGCTGCAGCAACACTGCTTGGAATACATGCCAAACAACTGCTACAGCTTCTGCCATCAAGAACCTTGTTTCAACCCCAGATCGGTGTATTTGACATAGATGATTTTGCTGTGAGGTGAGGTGAAGTCCTGCCTGTCTAGGCTGTGATGAAGAAAGCAGTATCACAGCAGAGCAGCTGGCTCCGTTGTCTCTCTGAATTAAAAAGTTATATGGAACTTTCCTGAGACTCCACATTTGTCTTCCAAATTGTCAAAAAAAAAGCTTTAAATATGCTTTGACAGGCCAAGGCAGTATACATTGGGCATGAGGGATTTGCCTCTTGATTAGGAGACACAGGGATGAGAAACCATCATGGAGATATTTTCTGAAAAGAAAGTGACTGTGCTGCTTTCTCCAGACAAGACAGCTCATTAAGTGTCAGCTAGGGAAGCAGCTTAAGGCAACACGATAGGTGCAAGTGCTGAGACTCCTCAGACCAGTATGAGGTCTGAGCTACACTTCAGGCCCCTCAGGTTCCAAGTCTGCCTAAGGCAAACACAGGCTCTCCATTCGTGATCCAGGAGCCAATTATGTGAACAACAGTACGGTTGGGGAAGGAAAACAAGGCTCCCTAGGCCAGAAGACTGGTTGCCAAATTACCTAGACATTCACCGGGTGCCAGTGTAGCTTTGAGGGGGAGGAAAGAATTCAAGGACGAGGAAAAGATTTACGGCAGGAGGCTCTATTTGAGAACTGCAGTTGCAATTGGATTTCTAGTCTGCTTTGTCTGCTGTCATTGTGTGGTTTCCTCTCTGCTCTCAGTAATTATGCTAGTAGTATTGATTCAATCCTTTCGGTCTTCCAAGAACTGTTTGACTAATAATGAGATAATCCTCCTGACCCCTAGAGTGAAAGGTAAGCATTGTTAAAAATAAACAGTCCTTCTCCAGAAAAGGCAGATTTGGTGGCAGCACTGAGTGGAAGGGGAAGCCCACATTCTTTTCCGAAGAGTAGTAAGGGAGGAAGAGTGGAGGAAGAAGAGCAAGGCAAAGCAGCAGGACAGGCAGAGGCCAAACCTCAGTGGTATTTTCACAGTCCCAGCCAGCAGTTTGCTTGAAGGCTGGACCGCTGGAACAACTCAGGATTTTCAGGATTTTCTTGCTCTTGCCTTCATGTCTACTTTCCTCCTCCTATTTTAGTGCCACCTAGTTTTGTCTTGTCTGAAAGTAGATCATGTGTTTGCTGCTGAGACTTGTATGTTTTAACAGGTTCTAGCATATAGATGCCTTGATCCTGGTGAAAATTTGAGATCCAGTTGTGGTGTTGGTGTTTCAGGGACAGGTTTTCTCCCTGTGATGCTACTGCGATCTCTGGCTTCCCAGCCGGATGCCAGCCTAGGTTATTACAAGGTGTTTTGTTGTATCAGCACTGTTGCGTTCTCCCAGTTGTTTCCATACTGGGTGATTTTCCTCAAGGTTGAAAAAATAAAGTGTCAGAAGTAGGGTAAAGAAACCTTGGATGCTCACTTACTAGGGAGCTCAGATCCCTAGTAAGAGAGGCTGTTTGTCAGTAGCTTCTTGGTTTATAAGTGCTTTATGTTGTGACACAACTATCTCAGCATCAGGCCGTTTTTTTATTTGTTTTACACTGACATTTCTTCAATGTCTCTGGTGATGCGGTGTCAGCTAGCCCCAGAGGAGGTGTGATCAAGGATATTTATGCAGTTGAGGGTGAATGTGTTTTCTACATGAAGAAATTAGAAGTTACATACACGTGTGATTACTTACAAGGCACTGAAGGGAATTTCGTATGAATTCAATATACGAAGACGTGTACTATGTAAAACATGAACTCGAATCTATTTTGCCCTGGGTATACAGTCTTAGACCTCTGTACTACAGAAAGTTGTTCTTATTTCTGGTGTACAATTGGAGGATCTCAGCTCTCTAGTGATTCATTTGATATATCTCATGCACAACGGAGTATGAGTATTGATCTAGGCCATTAAAACATATCATATTATTTTATGAGCAGTAACTGCATACAAGGACAACATACTAAATTGTAAAACATATTCCAATTCATAAAATTCACCAGTCTACTGCTCTGCCCAGAGTGAATATTAGCAGTTACAGTCACTTCTGTGGAAAACCGAGGAGCTGTGTATGACTAGTAATGCATATATAATACCAAGTGTGTCTGCTCAGCAGACCCTCGCAGCAAATTCAGTGAGGAACCATATTTCCCCAGTTCCCTTCCCTTCCCTTCTTGCTTTCCACTGGTCGCTCTGTCTTGAATATGATATGTTATGACTAATGACATTTCAGTCATTGATTATTATAGCAATATAATGCATCCAGTCAATAGGATTTCATAGAGTATATACCTGCAGCACGAGAGTGTAATTATCTGCTGACTTTCCAGACATCACTGGCAATTTGACTAATGTTAAAAGCTTTTTTATATCTTTCTTTTTCTTTCTCATTTGAATATAAACACTCTGTGGAAAATGAAGCTCTGGTAATGACTCACTGGGCGATGAGGCAGCAATCTCAGACGCTGTGATGTGATGCAGAAAAGGTCACACACTTGCTTTCGTAACAGAATTATTCATTCATTCATTAAGAATTAAACACATGTGGGAGCACATGATGCATTCAAGTTGATAAGTATTGGTGAAAACTTTCTTATACTTTCTTAAGTCCTGATCAGTTTGTGTGAGATAAAGATTCTCCAAATTAAGTTCTGTCTTATTTAGTGGCATTTACACCTGAAGTTATTTAATTGTTCCTGTTGGAGACAAGAAGGCACATAGCGTTTCAGAATCATGGCTGTATCTTAATGGAGTGATGGTTGCGGGTTTTTTTTTGTTTTTAAGTCTTTGCAATGAGCTTATATTTAAAAGAAAGACATGAAGTTCTATATTATTTATGCCTTTTTACCTAAAAGTTGCTATTTTTTTAATTGTACTGTTAAAAGTTGGTTTGGGTTTTTTTTGAAGTGGAGTCATGCAGAAAAATCAATGTATGCCCAAGTCTTGTGACTATTTTAACTTGGTAGCATTACTGTGTTTTTTTTTTTCATGGATGTCCCATGCTAGACTGCAGCTAGGAAAGGATGGATTAGTCAGAGCTGAATGTGGTACTATGGAGTTAAGCTAAACCAGCTGTAATAGGATACACTGGGAGGTCTGCCTAGTCTGGAATGTGGCTCCCTTGGCCAGTATCAGATGTCTGTGAAAGAATCTAAAAATACCGTGAGCACATAGTGGCAGATGTAACTGAGGGCTGTCTTGAGTCAGAAGTGATCTTTTTGAGGTTAATAACCTTCAGCATATTCCTTCTGATGTGAGTTTGCCTAATCACACTAGGACTTACGTTGATTTCTGACATCCACAGCAACGTGAGGCAGGAAGTTTCACCGTCTGACAAAAGAGTGTATGAAGAATTATCTCCTATTGCTGATTCTGAACCTGTGGTTTCATAACTTAATCTGATGCCACATATTTCTTCTATCTTAAAAAAAAAAAAAAACCAAACAGGAAAAGCAGAGTGTTTTCCTTTTCACTTTTCCATATGCCACTCATTTTATGGATCTCTAGCATATCTCCACTCAGACAGCTCTTTTCTAAGCTTAAAAAAATTCTCAGTCTGTGCTGTTGTACGTGCTTTGGACACTTCTTACTGCCCTTTTCTGTAACTTTTCTAGTTGTAAGGTGTCAAGATAAGAACCAAAACTAATAGCTGCCTTCCAATACCTGAAGGGAACCTACAGGAAGGCTGGGGAGGGACTTTTTACAAGAGTGTCCACTGATAGGACAAGGGGAAATGGGTTTAAGTTGAAGGAGGACAGATTTAGATTAGATTTTAGGAAGAAATTCTTCAGTACGAGGGTGGTGAGACTTTGGAATAGATTGCCCAGAGAGGTTGTGGATGCCCCCTCCCTGGAGGTGTTCAAGGCCAGGTTGAACGGAGCCTTGAGTAGCCTGGTCTAGTTGAGAGGCGTCCCTGCCCATGACAGGGAGGTTGGATTAGATGATCTCTAAGGTTCCTTCCAGCCTACGTCATTCCATGGTTCTGTGATTCTATGTAATAGTCATAAAGTGGTTGTACCATGATTTTATATAGTGATGCAATAAGTCTTTCCCTTTCTATAACTTTCCTAACAATTGTTAACTTAGGACTTGTTTTCTTCCTCCCCATAATAATAATTGTTTTCCATTCCCACATTGTTTAGGGCACTATTGACATGATTTTTATGTTTGTTGATGTAGGAATATACAAGTGACGTGATAAACTTTGAGGTAATGGCCTCAGTTACTGTAAAATTTTGCAGATGTAACCAAGTCATATATGAGGCCATAACCTTAATGAGCATCAGAAAGAATTTAGAGCCTATTTACAGTTCAAAGTTCTAACTGATTTCTGTTGTTCATAAACTGGGTAGCAACTCAGGTTGCTTTTATACTCCAAATGTAGATAAAGTTGCATTTTACTTGCATGTCAGCAGACATACGAGATCTTTATGTTTACTTTTTTTTTAATTGCAGGTATTTATGAGCCGCCATTTCTTGTATTATTGTGGTGAACCTACTCTGGATGTGAAGATTGCCTTTTGTCAGGTGTGTGTTCCTTACAGGTAAAACAAGGTACAGTATATACTTGTACTTCATTTTTGTAGTTTATGCTATAATAAAAGAAAAACTAGAAGTTAATTTCAGCAGCTTACTGCGAGTAACTGGTTATAGGAATGAGAGTAAATATGAAAAATAGAAGAATGCATCACAAAAATTACTTTTCTGTTTATTTTGAAGTTTATATTGTAGTTTGCTTGTAATGATTTTCCTCTTTTATTTTGCTAAAATGTTCTGAGATTTCTTTTAGTTAAAAATAATAGCAGAATTTGCCAACAGAAAAAAATGTCTGTACTTCCAAGAAACTTAATGATGAATTAAATGACATAACTATACGTACACAGTTGCTTTCACAGAAATATGAAAATTAAAACTATCTTATCATGGCCTCTGTTTTTGTGAGACAAAACGCTGTAGCCTGTGACTACAGTTTTCTGTCCCTTAGTCTGCCATTACTAGAAATGAAGGGAAGGTAATTAAAATTGTGAGGTTTGTCTTGTCTCCAGTTGAACATCATATGCTATGCAGGTTTTGGAGTCATGAGACTGCACGATAGCCAATTCAGTTATTTCTAAATTACCCTTGAAATTGTTTGGTCACAAGGCTTCGAAGTCTACAAGGCTGAAACCAACTTTGTGATAGAAAGAAAAAAGTGGATTGATTTGTCCAGATTTTTATTCTTTTGGTTAGATTAAGTTAGTTAACATATATATATATATATATATGAATCCTAAATCTGTGTGCATGTTTTTCCATCATTAATGAAAGATGACATTTTTGGTCAGTTCTGAACTGGTTTTTGTGTTCGAATTCTGTCTCTTCATAGTTGGTGGTTTTTTTTGTGAGATGGGACACCAGTAATATAACTAGCTGAAGGGACATTAGGGACATTGTTCATTTTTGAGGGGTGAGAACAATGCTGCATTCTTAGAAATGGAATTATGGTAAATACTGGTTTTTTCCTCTTTATATTACTTACAGGGTCCAAGTAAGTGAAGGTACAATTCTAAAAAAGAAAGGGCTATTACTTGTATGTAAGCATTTAACACAAAATGGTGGCACATGTTGGGAGGTTTATTTTGTGATTTTTGACTCAGGGGTACTAAATATTTGTTCTGCTGAGAAGGCTGGCTCAGTAAATCATCAGCTCTAGGATGGATCTTGGCTATTCAGTTTGATAGTCTGTTTAATTGTCTCTCTGTCCTTTTTTATCTCCTGTTCTTCATGTGCCTGTATTTGTATAACTGGCTTAATTCTACTGTTTTTGAGAGAAGAAGGGATTTTGTCAAACAGGATTTTATAATTTTTTGACAGTGTTCACTTGCAGAAAAAAAATTTGCAAAAATTGCAAAAGCCAGTTTTTCCTCAGACTGTATGAAAAAGACATTGAAGAAAACCTTATTTTCACTCTGCAGATAGAGTTTTTTGCATAGCTCTGCTTGCCGACTTTCCTCTCCCTTCCTCTTAGACCGAAGCAGAGCTGTACAGAAACATTCTATTTTACACGTGCAGAGGAAAGGTAGTCTTAATCACTTCCTTTTTTGTTCAGGGTTCCTTTAGTCTTGGCATTAATCAGTGCGTGACTATGTGTAGCCAACGCTTTCTGGCACTGCACTCCGGGTTCTTGATGCAGTGGAAACACGCCGCTGTAATTATTCCTTTGCTGTTACCCTGACTTAATGAAAGGTGTTCTGAGGCACATACAGAACCATACGTATTTACAACGGTTTTGTTAAAGTCCGTATGATGAAATTAACAGCATTTTAGATGAATTTTTATCCTTGAATGAAACTGATTCATGTTTAACGCCTACAGCACGTACCCAGAAAGGAGTCATCTCATAAATACATGCAAGAGATACTATCCTGGCATTGCAGGAAACAGAAATCTATCCTTCAAGCACTTACTGCACAAATACCTTTTCAAGGTCTTCAGAAGTTCAGATTTATTCTCCTGAGGATAAAAGCTGGTTCAGGCTTCATGTTAATTTATTCTCTCTGTAAAGATAGGCTCTGATCCAAATAACAGTTAAGCACATAGTTAGCATTAAGTACAAGAACAGTCTCTAAAGTGTTTTGTTGCATTAAGACCTTAGTTTTCATGGATGCTGTTAATTTATATTGCATAGAGCGGGATGTGGGTTATATCTGTATCCTGCTAATACTTAGTCCAAACATCCAGATCTTTATTTAGAGACTATTCAACAGTCTCCAGGTAGTAATATTGTTTGTTCCATGTTTATTCATAATGCTGATGTGGAAATCAAATGCCCTGTGATTTACTACTAATTCTTCTTCTCTAAGTGTAAAGTTCATTTGTAACTTTGGGAAACTTCTTTCTGCTCAATCAGTAAATCTAAGAGGTTCAGGAGCTACTGCTAACAAAGAATAGTGTGATAGCAGAATGGTTATCATCAGCAAGAGGCAGATACTGCCACTCAGATCTTGAGTTGTCTACAACTGACAAGGATCCCAGCAGTATCTAGACGAGAGACCACAAAAATGAGATTTTCAGTGATCATAATTCAACTCAATAACTTTTTCATGTGGCTCAACAAATGCTAAAATTATTTCTACTACATAAGCAAGCAACAGATATCAGAACAAGTCAGTGTGGTATAGTTCGATCCTGCTCTGTTGACCTGTTAAGATGAGACCCTCTAGTGATGGTGTACTGGAATATACAATTTATTCAATGGACCATTGCAATTTTCGACTCATGTTTACCATGAAGAATAGAAGTCCTGCTTCCATTTGGAATTTGCCCGTCACTGTGGACTTTCTACAAAATACAGAGTTGTGCTGAAATGTCTTTTATAAAGATACAATATTGAAAAGTGCTCCAATGATTGTTAGTACCATGGACGTATTTTTCTTGTAATAAACATTTTGTGGCAATTTCTCTTTCATGATCTAAAGGCATAGCTGTATGTGCTATGAAAGAAAGTGACATACACCTAATTATGGGCTGTTCCTCTTGACACAGAGCTTATGTCATTGAGTATACTGGTTTTATATGATGAAATGCTAAT